ATTCTTTTATTTTTAACTGAGGTTTAAATAAGCCAGCAGTGAAATGAATGTCTGGATTGTCTGTCTGTAATGATTTCTTAGATCATTCAGACAAATAACACGATTGACTGACACTATCACTGCTCTAATAGAATTCTCATCAACGATCAGCGATCAATGGCGTTGTTGTAGTAGCACTGTATTAAGAGAAATATATCAACATTCTTATTATTATGACTGCTCTGCTGCCGCTATGCGCATCTTATATATTTTTTTGGTGCTTTGTTGAAGAGGGCCAACAAGGGAGATCGATCATCATAAATCATTTTCACCGGACCTAATGTACCCTCAGTAATTTATTTTTAATAGAATTTATCAATTTTATTTGTAATAAAATTTAATCTAGCCTTCTCTTTTCCATTATTCTTGGCTTAAATTGACCACTGCTAAGGTATTCGCTACGAAACAAAAACTGGGAAGTTTGCAAGTGTGCAAGCAAGAAAGCTTTTATTTACAATTCCTAGTTTCAAACTGTCAGTTTATTAAATTAGAAAAACTATTTCAGAAAGATATGACTTTATTTTTCTTCCTTCTTAAATTTTAAATCTAGATGAAAATAGTATTTAATGATTCATTGCTTTATTGTTTCATTAATATATATTTTATGTTCGTACTTTCAAATTATTTCTTCCTGCTGTTTTGATAAGCTTTGTCTTTAGTTTTTGTCCAGATAAGCAACATATGACAAGAAAGAAGAAAGTTAAACTACGATTTCTTGCCATGTCAAACGTTCTTTACGTCTATCGCTTGGATCAACATAACATGAAAAGGAGTGAAAAAGGTAGAGGTGGAAATTAAACACATACAGAGCACACAACACCTTACATGTGAATATGATATCCCGGAAATGTATCATGGGAACATAAGTCAAATGAAACAATTACACCGACATTAATATATGAACCTTGATCATAACGAAACAACTTGACTACAAAATTATTAAACCAAATTTAGTAATAGGAAAATATACTAAAATGAAAAGAAAGGCTCGCACTGAAATTCTCAATGTTTCATCACAACCATGGAAGCAATGACTAAGTGTTGCTATAAGGTAAAATAAGATAAGGAAAGGAATTTAAATAACCCGAAATAATAAAAATTTAGACAAGAATAACTAATGAATGAAGCATATTTTGATATAAAAAAAATCGTGGCATTTTGATGAAATTATTAGAAAGAAGTATAAATACAAAGGTTAGAATAAAATGAAGTGATGGATGTATTAGTGGTAAGATCACAGGCTAACAGAAAGCGGTGAGCTCTGACTAGCATGTAAGGGCAGAAAAAATACGCAGACTTGGCTGACAGATGACAACAATAACCAGTGACAGATGACAGATGACAATCTGGAATAAAAAAGTTTAACACTACACAAAAAGCCACAAGTAATAGAAACCAATAATAATGAGTCGATATGTTACTTACACTTCATCAGTACAAGAACAGTCTCTAGTCTTCAGAATACAATACCAAGAAAAGAGAAAGAGCCAAAGAATATTGACTGAATAGCAATAATAATGATAATAATGAAGAATTATGTTTGTAGCATGGACAGATTACACGAAGTGCAACTTTGGAGAGGGTAAAAAAGATGATATAACACTTAAACGGTTAGCACATTAATGCATATGAAATCTTTATGGTGTAAGCAAAATCAATCATTGAAATCGTATACTTTTGAGAGCAACAGACATGAAAGGAAATTATAATACACTAATAGTGTAATTCAACAGGATAAAAGAGCATATTCGAGAGTAGGATTGCATAAAATACAGGGAAGGTAGGATGAATGATATGAGTACCTTGACTGAATATTGACAACGATTCGAGAAACACTAAAATGAAAAAGGAGTGATGACATTAGTTATGAGATCATTGATAATTCCATTTAATACTGATACCACTTCATACAGTGGTAATATCGATCTACTACATTTATTTCCGACAAGTGCTAGAAAAGGTTCATTGCAGTGAAAACGAGTTATTCATTAATGGTGGTATCAATGTAAAGAACAAATTATACTTCAAATTCGTAACAGAATATCACTTCGCAAGACCGAAACAAGGGGCAAATGCAGGAGAATAATATTAATTAATAAGTTAAAAAGTTTGGACAGTATCTGAAAATAGTTATAGTTAAGAGCAACACCGAAAAGAAATAATGACAGAATAGGAGAGAACGATAAATAGAGATTATATCAAAACAAAAAGAAAGTAAACAAGACATCAAAATTACGCAATGTGTAAACCGGTTTAATACAAACAATCAAATTGTTTGCTGCTGTGATAGTGCTTAAACCAGTAAAAGAATGCAAAGTGAAGATGAGATTTATTTTGGAGTTTCGAAATATAAAATGATAAGTTAAGAAACTCGAGCATAACATTAGCACTGTTTGATGTTACTACAACAGGGAATGAAAAATGAAAAAGAATATGATGGGATAAAATTCAAGTCAATTAATTATGGGAAATGATGCAATACCAAAAGGACTAGGAAAATAACTGATTCAACATAAAATATTGTGAACTGTACATAGATGTTTTATTAGTGATGACAACAATATAATAAATAACAATGAGAAATCATAATGGTTAATAAGTAACAATTACAACAACATTAGCGATAACAGTCATGATAACGCTAATAATATACAGTAGCAGTAATTACTTTACACTGGCACTCAGCACTGAATTGCTTGTGATACCTGTGAAAACAATTTAATCGATGACTAGCATATAGCTTGAGTACTTCCGATCTCACCGATTGCTGGCAATCCATTTATTCACTCTCCTAATAAGCTGTCAACCCTAAAAAAGTCGACTGTTCTCTTTCTGCATTATCTGAAGTTGCAATTTGTATGTATGAATAATATATATGAGGAGTTTGATAAAAAGGACAACAACAACATATGATGTGATGAAGAGTGACTAAAATTGTTATTATTTGCTATGAATTACCGTCAAAATGGTTCTTCAAATCCTGTAAAACTGCTGAGCAAAGACAGAGAACAGAGGAAATGACCTTTTGGAAATGTTTGTAAAAAATGAACACCAAGGAATAGGACAAACTCTGTCAGAGAAGAATATAACGACAGTTTGTGACAAGTGTCATTAACAAGGCCGAGGAAGGCGGAACACATGGAAAAACTAAACGCATCATCAAATTTTTGCGCTACTACGGTATTTGCAGAGTTGAATAAACTAAACATTCAAAATCACAAGAACCAAACGCAATTAATCGACAGTTATTAATTTAATATAATATTAATTATGAATTTTTTAACATCAAAATTTACTTCAGTAATCCATTCTAATGCTTAAATAATCCGACAAGTGGATAATATTCAAACATGGTGATACATATTCTTGAAGCTTCTGCAAAAGTTAGTAACTTGATTAGGTGATGAATTAAAAAAAGCAATGAAGAGATTACTTTCGCGATTAAGGCAAGCGGGTTAACATTGCACTTAACGATGCTCGGATTCCTTACGGGATTAAGTGGATGTTTCTTTCCAAAGAAAATCTTTCCAAAAAAATCCAGCACTTTGAAAATGCTACTTCAAGTACATAAACAAGAAAGCTATCAAAAGCAGAATTAAAAAGAAATTGTTGAAAAGAGATGAGAAGACATAAAAGGGTGTATATGCGCACGACCATTAAGTAAATAGGATAATGCGAGAAGAGACAGCTCCAAGAGGTCATTGGTATCATTTGGTCCACTGTTCAATGTAAAAATTTAATTACTTAAAAGAAGACGAAAGGATGGCCCAAATTAATAATGTCGCCTATCATCGTTCTACTTCTTCTCACCTATCAGTGAAGTGTTGCTCTGCTAATTGCCAATTTCATTTATGTTAGTAATAACAAATTAATTTAAAATAGTTCTCAATTTAAATCCAAGCAAATGCATGAGAGATATTAACAAATAATTAGCAGCACCAGTTTCTCACACACAAAAAAAAACATACAAATTCAAATGGGTATCTCTTGGGAAAAGGACCAAAATAGTTTTTTTCATGAAGCTGCCTGAGCTTTACGAGATTATCATTTCTTATTTTACATCAAAGTACATTAAAACTGATGGAAAAGAAATGAGTTAGAATAGTCTGTAAAAGAGGTTTGGTTCTTGTCTTCTAATCACATTTATTTTTTGGTTCTTTCATCTATCTTTTTTTAAAAACAATTCTCAGTGTCAGTGAACGATAACTAAGATAAATAAAATTTTCACTACAAGCTTAAGGATTTCAGGGTTATTATTTCATTGTTTATCGGCAACTGCCATCCATTTCATGCTACCAAAATATTTAGAAATGTTTTTGGTACAGAAAAAAAACTTAAATCTGAGCACAAATCCTACAAAAGACTGAGATTTTAATAATAAAATTATAAAGAGATGTGCGACGAAATTGTGGAAACTTTCAGAATTTTATCGCAATAGCAGTTATTCATGGATTCATAATTGACGGATTCAAGTAATCAAGAATGTCTCTACTCTAAGATATGGATTATCAAAGAACACATAAACTACTTTTAGGCATAATCTGATTACCTTGGATGATTCGGCTACCATCAAAATACACTCCTAATACGAGTTAAATGAAATCGACGTGGACTCAAAGTTTTCGTTCTGACCAATCATCATAGCAAAGAGATAGGAAAGTTCTGTTTTTCGTCGCGAATCACACCCAAACCCATTTCTCCGATGCGTTTTGCTACTTTTTAAGAATGATTGGCTCACAATTGCAAATGGCGCAAGCAAACGGTTCCGTTATTCCTTTTTGTCGATGTTTTGTGGGAGTAAGTGAAAAGGGAAGTGTGGGTAGAGCGATTGACACTTATCCAGTAGATTGGGTGAGTCTGACCCATGTATCAGTCCGATCTTGAAAGATACCTTCATGACATATCGTTTCAGAGCATGTGATCTTGTTTGTTTAAGTGTTGGGATTTATTGAGCAGATACGATGCTTAGACGGCTGGGCATATCTTCCTTGTGGAAACCAAAAAATCCGCATTCGTTGGAATATTTGAAGTGAGTTGTCCATTACTTGTTGAACGGTTATGTCCAAGTTAGATAGTAATGTTTATGTTTCATCTGTTTTAGATGTTTTAGATTTGTGATTATTTTTAATTTCCTCTTTATTCTTTCTTCTTTGTTTTTGTTTTCAGTATTTTTTAGGTATTTGCATGAAATACTTCGCAAGAACGAGCAAGTAACAGAGAATAACCGTAAATTGTTGGTGGAATGCCTGAGAGCAATAGCTGAAATTTTAATTTGGGGTGACCAAAATGAAAGTTCTGTTTTTGAGTAAGTTATATATGTATGCCTGAATTTATTACATATTAAGTCATTATGCTAATTATAAATGCATAAAGCAGTTTCATATGTATTCTAGTGCAGGAATCAATTTTATAGGAAAAAGTTTGCTTTGGAACTAAATTTTTTCTTCTATTTTGCTAGCTACTCATTTCATACTTATTTACATCAATCAGCGAAAGAGAGAAAAAGACCTGATTAATGGATACAAATGCTACACGTTCTGATTTTTGTCTTATTTTTCTTAGAGTAGTAGATAACAAGAAACAACCATCTAAAATATATTTTTCAGTTTTTTCTTGGAACGACAAATGTTGGAATATTTCCTTTCCATAATGAAACAGAATTGTGGATCCTTTATCTGTGTTCAGTTATTGCAAACGCTCAACATTTTATTCGAAAATATACGTCATAAAACTTCTTTATGTTAGTCTGTCGTTTTTTTTTTTTTTTTTGGTTTTTGAAGTAATGATACAGCAGATTTCTTTAATTCTTCTTATGAAACAGCGTTTTCACTAAGTAGCTATAAAAATTAATATGCCAGTTATTTTCAGATTATTTGCTCAGCAATAATCATGTTAATTCAATTATTATGTATCACTTTAATTTTGAAAATGAGGAGATCATGGCCTATTACATATCCTTTTTGAAAACGCTTTCCTTCAAACTTAATATGTATACAATACACTTTTTTTTCAACGAGGTTCGTCTGCTTTTTATTACTAATCCTTTATCATTATGACTTATTCCATATTCGTATCCAGTGGTTTTCAGGTTAATCAAGATTTTCCATTGTACACAGAAGCCATTAAATTTCAAAATCATAATGAAGCTATGGTGCGCATTGCAGTACGAACGACCACACTGAACATATACAGAGGTATTCATAATTTTTGTAAAGTAGTTCTATTGAAAACATGAAATCGAGTGCAATTGTTTCTCTGATATTTTAAGTAGAAGACGAAGCAATGCGAAGCTTTGTTCGTGCTCACTCTCGAGCTTACTTCTGTGCGTTGAGCGATTTTATTGCAAGACAGTCGATTGAAATCGATCATTTTGTTCGGTCGGCTGAAAATGAATCTAGCAATCGCAAAAAGCTTGATGCTATGATTGATGATTATCTTGATTATATGCATTACCTCAACGATATTTTACTTATAAAAGTTGGTTTTTGACTCCCTGTATTTTTTATATTCATTCATGTCATTTTTCAGAAATAAACAGGATTTTATTCTCTGATTTTTTATATAATAGTCACTTTCCTTCAAATTTTGCAAATTTTTTTACAAATATTTTGACGGATAATTGAAATTTTATATTTTAGGACGAGAAACTTTCTGCTGTACTTATAGAAGTAGTTTTTGAAAGACTACTGGGATCGCTGTATCTTTCATCTCTTGGCGGTATTCACCTTTATCCCGGCACCGCTATTTTAACACCAGTATCTTCTCTTTTCTTTCTTGCTCAGTTTCTCCTGATCGTCGATGATTTCCATGTATGTTAAATAGTGAGATGTTTGTGAGACTATATTTTGTAACAGTTTTTAGCGGGTTATTTGTTTCCTTATAATTTAAGCGTGACGTCCTTAATTTTTTTGTACTTGTATACTGAGTATTTATGCATAATAGTTCAGTATCACTCTCCTTTTTTATGTTGATCCATAAATTCCAGATGTATGTTATAAAAGATAAACTGAATTTATAGGCAGTACAAACACTTTTATCGTCATTCTTTTTTGGTGATGGTTCCGATATAGAGTATCAATGGATTCGTAATGAAAAGGCATTGTGGATTCTTACGAATATGAAAGCTAAAGACATAGAACCGAGGTTTATTTCTATTAGTATTTGTATGTTTGAAATTCATACTGAATATTTGAATTTCCTGTAGCCTAATCTCAGAATGACGAATTTCAGAGCATTTTTTAATGGATATCTGAATGCGTTGGATTGTTCGAGGCATGACTATTCGGCTTTTTACGGACTTATTTTCATTTATGCCCTTTGTCAGAACAAAGGTATTATTACCGTTACCACATTGAAAGCGATTCCTAATCGATAATTTTGTTCGAATTGAATTGTTTTGGAATTTTAAGCCCGAAACATAGCAGTCTCTCTTTTTGTTTGTGTTGTATTAGATCTCAACATGGAATTAACTTATTTTGCAATATTTCAGGAGCAAGGAGAGAAATCCTGGATGCTGTGCAGTTCACTTCCGATGTCGTTGGTCCTTCCGATGACAATTTCCTGAATGGATTGCTGGATATCATAATTAGAAGTGTTGAGAAAGGTATTATTTCAGCTGATCATTAATTGTTATTTCTTTTATCTAGTGTCGACCAGTTGAAGCATTGCTGCAAATTTTCAGACACGTTTATTCGTACAGTAACAGTTGAATTATGCTGTATTGTCTTAAGGCAGTTGTTACTGATCATGGATGCATCTGTAGATGCGCAAGTAGAATGTGAAAGGAGAGCAGGAAAAATTATAGCAAGCCTTGTTAGCATGCTCACACCATCTGTTTATTCGGAAGAATTATTTTTGGAGATGTTTGAGGATGAATTTTATAATTTCGAGGTTTGTTCCAATGTTTTCATTATTTTAAAAATATACTCCATGCTTTCTTGAAACTAATCGTTGCTTTTAGCGGAATAAAATCCAAATTGGAAGTATCAGTACAGATTCATCGCTTTTGCTTCCTCCTTCTAGTACACCACTGAATGGTGTATCGCTTAATAAGCGCTTACCATGTGGCAATGAAGAACGAACTCGAAGGGTGAAAATTTTTTTCTGTTTAACTTTATGCTAAAATATGTGTACGTAAAGCAAAGTGCTAGGCGCAGTGCTTATAAAATTTTTTTTTTTTAGAATATCCAGCTGTTCTTTCACTTGAGGCATTTCGCATTAGATCTGCGCGATGAAGAAGAGACACGATTACCGATATTATCTAAAATTGATGCGTTTGTTGAAGTAAACGACTGTATCAACCTCGGTTTCGATTTGTTTCTCTTTATTTCTTTTTCTATTTATTTTTAATTCTATTTTTTAATTTAATTTTACTCTTTATACTTTGCGTAGCATTGTTGGTTATAGAAAACAGTGATTTGCTTGCTTGCACAGTTATGAATGAGAAAAGCGAAAAAGTTCATCGATTCCTTGTTACGGACCAGGCGCAGTTGATATTGGTAGAACCAGATAGCAGGCGTATGGGATGGGCCATTGTCCGATTTGTTGGTCTTTTACAAGTAAATTTCATATTGTCCTAAACCAAATCATATGATGGCAGTTTTTCGATCAGTGAATATATCATTCTAGGACACACAACTAACGAGTGATCTTGGTGACAGTCGTGCGCTTCATATTATTGTTAATAATGCAAGCAGTCGTTCGGAAGCAAATGGTGCATTTTATTTCAGTGCAAAATTTTTGTTTGATGACCATATCCGATGTATGGCTGCCAAACAACGTCTTACGAAGGTTTTTTTTTTTTTTAAATATTTCTCATCTTCCTTTCATACATCGGAATTCAAATGTTTTGTTCAGTCAGCGGAATAGATATTATATTTTTAGATTTGAAGTTTTCATATTTTTTTTTTATGCGTAAAATTCAGTGCATTAAAACTTTTGCTCTTTACTGACATATACTGAATAAAAACTATTAGTAAAAAACAAAAGAAGTAATCAGCAGTAAAAAAATGCAGCCCATAGAGGTTAAGCCATACTTTACAGAAAAACAATTTTTAGGGTAGACAGACAGCAAGGCAGTGTAAACTGGATCAGATTTGTGATTTGTTCGGGGTTACACGCAAATCTTCTACATTGAGGAATAATAAGAATCCATTTCGGATAGTTAAAGGTTGTCTACCTGGATCATTACGAAGACAGCCACAAATAAGCAGTCCACGTAGCAGCAGATCGTCCAGCTGTTCATTAAATATTATTCCTGATGATCCTGAACATGGTGCAGGTCCTTCAACAAATGAAGATTGGAAAGTAGAAGACATGTAAATCCAAGATTATATAAATATTAGAAAAATTGTGAAACTAATTCTGCATCAATGCTATTTATTTTCTCGTCATTCTATGTATTTATTTTGCAGGGTGTAATCATTTGTTGTATTAATAAGACCCTCAACAACTTATCTTTAGTCCCTCTATGAATTTCGTTAATTTATAGAGTAATGTAATAAACCCCAGACTCCTTTGACGGATTTCAGTATACAGTATTTATAATAATACTCCTGGATTGTAATCCGTTTTTGTACGTGTATTTTGACTTGAACTATTTATTAGTTCTTGAATGAAGTACTTAACATTCCTTTTTGTATTTACTGATTTCTACGTGAGAAAATGCATTGCATTAATATATCTGCCTCTGTCACATTTCTTATTATTTTTATTTCTTGCTAATTTCTCCAATGAGAAATTGCAGTGGTTTTTATGGCGTTATAGGTTAGAAAAAATTTAGATTTAAGATTTTTTTTAGTGCAAGAAACTTTTGCATTGCTTCCTAACTGCTAAAAATGATGGAGCGAAGTGATAAAAGTAGTTTTTCAGGTGTGTGCTATGTCCAATGATGGACCCACTGACATTCAATCAGGAATTAATAATTCGACAACTTATCGAGATCTTAGTTTGGATTGCGGCACTACTGAGAAACTAAGCAAACTAACGGTAACCAGAAATAATTCGCCGCTCAAAAGCTTCGGGGAGAAGAAAACTCGAGAAAGAAATATGAAGATAGCTCGGGGACATCAGATGTTTAAAAACATCGAATCAGCGCTCAGTGATGGTAGTGCGAAAAGGAAATCATTAGAGCAAGGGAAGAAAGAGAAGCAATCTATTAATGAATTGCAACTGGGAGAAATGATGCTGCGAAGTGCATTCGACGGTAAAGAGACACGAAAACCTCTAGATTCCTCTATGATAACTGCAGACGAACTCATCAGTTTGTTTGACCTTGCTGTTAGCGATTGTTGCTCGATGCATGACAAATTCAGTAAAATTTCTTTGCTCATTATTCAGCAAACTTATAATACTTTTTTCCTCTATCTCCGGAAATGTCTTATGGTACTGCTTTTTATGATGAAATAGTTATTTCCATCAAGTCAAAAAACTAAAACATTAGAAGTTTACCGAGTTTTTTAGATTTTGATGCTCTTTTTTTTCGTCTTAATTTTCATATTAGGAGAATAGAAAATATAAAACTCTTATCAATGCTAAAAATACTGTTCCACGATCAAAATTACTTATTTTCACTTAAACGAAAATTGTAAAAAATTACTGAATTTTTGTTCCAGGAACTGCAATGGACGAAGGAAGGTTATGCCTCAGTGATGAAGACTGGAATCGATTTGCTTGTCACGTTGCAAGTGTCGCAATACAGGAAGTCAGAGGATTTGCAGTAACCGCTGCTATTATGGCAGTCAGTAAGTTATTACTTTTGTAAATTAAATAATTCAGGCTATTTCAAAAATCTACTTAGGCCGTGAATGCGAAACGATGCTAGGATATCTAAAGAATATGAAGTAATTGTTGTGTCATTAAACCCTACTTTTACTTGGTATATATTTAGAATTCTACTTATTCTTCTCTACAAAAAAAGGCGTTATATTGAGTGCTTTTTTTTTTTTTTGAAGTTTTTAGAGACAGTGTAATTAATTTTTAGTGACTGGCGATGATTTCTTGTTTTAAACTGTTGAAGAAATTCTTGTTGTTGATGATTGCAGGACAAAAAAGCTTCCGATCAGCTTTTGCGCAAGAAATCAATGTTTTAATGTCAAATTACGTCTTATTGGGAAAAAAAATCGGGCAAGGACTCCCGGAACTTGTGGCACACCTTTTGATTGCTAATTGGCCGCGAGAACACGCTCGATGTGATCTGGAATCGAATGATATTTTATTCTGTATCGTTTCGTCGATTAAGGGCTGGTTGGAAACAATAATTGGGGAGGTGTATTTTGAAAATTTTTCATTTCATTTAATTTATACCAGTATTAAAACTACTTAAAAGATTAAGTATTTTTATAAATCGGAGCAACTACAGGCAGATGAGATTGAAGAGATTGAATCCAACTGTGCTTGTGCACTGTATGAAGTGTGTCGTTTCGCGCAGCGAAAACTTTGGATGAAATGGCCAGAATTAGTGGATGAATGTTATGCTGCCGTAAGAGATGGTATAACCTTAAATATCACATTAACCAAGTGAGTTTAGACAAGAAGTTAAAATTGCGAACTTAGTAGCTAGTGCTGTAAGAGTCAATTTAATACATTTATTATTTTATTCGAGTCTTGAGTTATTCTGCTGTGTTTTTCTATTAATTAGATAAAGTCAAACTTTTGTAATGGTATTAGTTGTCTTAACAAGTTAATTTTTATCTAAAATTTACGCAAATCCGTTCAGCTCATCTGCTTAAACGCTGATAGTTGACGGTAAAGCAAAATATATCAACTGTACAACACGCTTTTAAAAATATATAGTACTTTGAAAATATAGCGCTGTTGCACGGCGCTATCAAAAAAAAATCATCAATAAAGATTAACTGGTAGATATGAATTGCAGGGAAGCACGAAAAGCATTGTTAGATACCATGATTATGATGCACGAATGGACTAGTCGGCATGCAAAAACACTGGTTAATGTCAGCACACAGACTTATAGAACTCGAGTTTAGTTTATTTTTTGTATACATTATAATTTGTTACCTCAAATGGAAAATATTTTCAAATTATTCGACGACAGGCAGCGGCAGCATTGATAGGTCATGCCGGTTATACTTTAATGGAATCACTAATGATTTACCTCATGTTTTGTATTTCTTGTTTGAAAGAATCAGTTAATTATACGTGTATAATTCAAAAGAGTATATTGTTTGGATTTTTTACTTTTAATATGTCGATATTAAATCAGGACACACATAAAGGTGGTGGTTGCGGGCAAATATTACCTGTACTTAATGATTATCGATGTTACTGACCCACCATACAAAGTGGTGGAGTCGTTGTTAGAAATGTCGCTCTAAGTTTTGGAAAGAACATTTTTTATGTTCTTTTTTTATATTAATTAGAAAATCAGTCGAAATCCAAACGCACTTCTACCTATTTGTGTTATTTAAATTAATACAGATTCGTACAAAATAATTACGTTCATCATCGAAACTATTTGCCCATCTTTTACTTCTGAAATATTGTGTATGGAAGAGATTACTCATTGTGTTTCGCTAAAAGTAGTGCTAGTGCTTTATTGATCCTTCATTCCTCTTTCAGCCTTTTCAAATCGTTCATTTGGTTTGTGTATATATTTGTAGTACGTCCCAGTTTCTACTGTTGTATGTGTGCATTACACGAACTGCGTCTTACTGTTGTCTGGACGACACAATTTTTTGTTGCAAATTGTAATGTTGTGTTTGTTTTATCTGTACATATTTCAGACATTGATTGTCTAGTTTTATTGTTTTTTCCACAACTGTGCTGATTGCCTTTTGCATCTACCCCTTGCCATCCTTAAAAAAATGTTTTGTGCGTGCATTCGTATTGTTATAGTTGATATTTTGATAAAAAATGTTTGCAGGGCTGCAGAGTGTTAAGACAAGTAGTAATGGGGACAGGTATGCAGGTAGTCAGTTTGGCTTCACGGCACGCATCATTATCGGTTTGCTTGTCGTCTTTTGACCTGATCGCCCGTCCACTCCCCATGTCCATGCGAATAATGGATTGATGATGATCCCTGCAACCGTTCAGATATCTTCTATCTTTAGACAAACAGGTCCAACTGTACCAGACAAATGGGCGTGTCAGGCGCACATTTACAATGAGCGCAGACGTCGTGTCATCCCTACGCTTAATTGTATGTCATTTTTTCGGTGTGGAAGTGGAAGAAAGATGGGACGTCTGGAGTCGACCATGTATCAAGTGAAGAGAGGCAGAGAAGAGGACTGTCTAGACGGAGGAGGGGCAAATGACAACGAGTTGTCTGTCTGTCTGTGTGTGTGTGTCGCTGTAGGACATCTCCGGGGACGATCCCTTATGGTGTGGCAAAAGCCAATAGATCACTGCTTGGTGTGTGCATTAGTCTGTGCGGGTGTCTACGTGGCCTGAGGCGCTAAGGCATGGTACTTTCTGGACTAGTACATTTCTTGAGGCGACGAGTTCGGCCACCTGGACCTGAGTCTGAGCACTGCTTGCTAGGTAGTGAGCCGACATGTTGCTCCACTGCCAGGTTATCCTCGCCACAACGACAACACATCGATGCTTTGCTGGTAAGTTTTATGCTGAATCGCCGAGATCACTTGCCTACCGTTATTGTTACTATCTTCTTGTTGTTATGCCTAGGACCTTCGTAGGGTCTCACTGTGGTTAGTTGTACGGCATTCGTTAGCTGTTGGGCAAATGACCACTACCCATCGATTTTGAGCTCTGAGGAGAACGGATTTCGATATCATCCGTGAACAGCAGCAATACCACCACTTTTGCATGCATTTGCGAACTGTCACACACACATACACACACACATGAAATATGCTTTTCGTCCTTGTTCATCGCGAGGTGACCTGCTTATTCCCAATAGAGATTGACAGGGTGATGATTAGCTGTGTTGTCACTGTGAGCTGGGTTGGGTTCTCTCTTCGTCACTTCAATAGCACACCATCATTGATCGTTCAGCTTGCTCTGCGTGATCATTGCTTTTCATTCTTGCTGTATTTCACTATCTCACCAATCTCACCAACATATGGACACTGTCGTAATTCGTAAAACGTCAGCATTATAGATACTCTCTTTTGTTTGTTATGTTTTCTCTTATGACATAGCGATCTCGAGATAGCTCTTGAAGATGGGATATCCATCTCGCATTTTCGACTACTGTTATAGGGAAGAAAACAGTGAAGTAGAGTTGAATAGCGCTGTTCACTCTTTAACAAATCCTATCAGTTGAATTTAAAGCACGGGATACCGTTCGATTTTGATGAGAAACGATATAAAGGATGAGATCCCATATTTGAGTAATCTTGCATTAGAATAATTTAGTAAGCCTGATTACAAACATCAACTGTATGAGTTATTATGTCATCTGTCATAAGCTTCTTGTCACAATAGGTGAATCAGAGGATAATTATATCCTGAATGAGAAAAGATATAAAGAATGGGGTCCCATATCTGAAGCCCTTCAGACTATTTTTGCTCCACAAAAAGGCCTTTATACTTTTTTAAACCGAGTTGTGTTCCTTTTCTTGAGGAAGATTTGATTTTCAAAATTTCTTGGGATACAAGTCTTGTTCTGCTATCCTATTCATAATCTTAAAGAAATCAAGCTTTCAGAAGCGTTTGAAGACAAAACTTGCTTGTGAACCTGAAGATCGGGCCAGTGGAGTAGATGATGAATGCTGTGTATGTGTGCAGCGGCGTGCATCAGTTCGAGCCTTTCCTTGCAGCCATAAAGTATTCTGCCGGAACTGTGCGGTCCAGTTAATTGAGGTAGGCTACTATTTCAGGTTTTGCGGAACTTGTGCTATGATTTCATTAACGTTCTTGTGTTACAAGCCTGACATGATATAATTAGGTTAGATTAATCTTCAGTACTTGAAACATTCGATATTTTATGTGTGTATTTTTCTTCGTGTATGCTCCTGATTTTGAACAAATTTGATTTCTGTAAGTAGTTTCATTTTTCGTACAAAAAAGACGAAAACCTATTCTAAAAATGCATAAAGGCTATTATTACAGATGTTCCTTTATGAACAGACAATTATTTTAAGCGAATAATCCATAAAACTCATGTTAAGTGCAACTGTAGTTGCGATTTATCTCCTTTGTTAATGACTCAGGTTTTCATTTCTAGGTGGTGTTTAAATCCGAAAATTCATTCACTTTCTCGGTTTTATTTTTTTCTGAATCATTCGTTTTAGCATGCAATCAACGAGAACAGAATGCGGATGAGCTGCATAATATGTCGTCGTGATATCGCAAGGTTGCAGTATAGTCGGCCATCACGTTCTGCACAAATTCGTAAGCAGCAGGCGTTTCTTGAAGATAATGACAGCAGGAACAGTAATACTTCCACTACTACTGCTTTTACTACTGTCCGTGTTCTGAATAATGCAATTTGGTGTAGCCCGGATGTTTTCTCCAAATATTCATGTCAGAATTTCCCTATGCCTGTTACTCTTTCGTCTTCTCAATAAACTTTTTTTCAGTATGTTTCGTTTTGTCTTGTTCTCTTTTTCGTCTTTTAATTCTGTAACTCACTCAATCTTATTCAAAATACATGGGATTGAATATTGTAGATGTGAAGTGTAAATTATAATTCAAGGGTTGTCTGGAATTTCTTTTAACTGGAATATTTGTACTGCATCCTTCGCGAAATAGCAGTAATAGAGAGGCCATGTGGAACAGTCGTTTTGGAATTTATGCAGATTTGTTTTGTGTGCAGTTCCTATCAACTTGCAATACAAACTGGTGTTCAGGCTGCAGCTTTTCTAAAGTTACGAGTGCGAACCTGTTCTTGTTTCCTTTATCCAGTTAGGGGTACCTTCAAATTTGTTTGAGATTTGTTGAATATTTTGCTATTCTCTTTCAAAGACTCTTCCATCTTTTCAGAAGATTTAAATACAATAATATAGTATTTTGATTGGCTTCGCTATACACTGACTGATTATATTTTATACAAGTATTGTTCCGTGCGTGTGCCAAAGTCTTTCGTCGTATTTTTGTGTGGTCAATTTAAAGTCTGTTCACGAATACAACGCCTCTCTATACGTGTTCAGCAATCGGTAAGATTGTGCATAAAGCATCGTCGCTGATTTTTTTCACATTGTGAATGAAATGCGGGAATTGTTACATTTCAAAATATGGCGAATGCATTTCGTGAGTGCTTGCTAGGATTGTAGGATGAGGGAGGGCAACTTGTTCAAACGGTGAATTAAGCGAGATATTTTTGTGTCAGGCTTGAATAGGATAGGAGGTATTTTTCACTCAGATTTCAACGTAAGGAAGAAAGAAGGTGGGACGGTATTTGTTCAGTAGTTCGGAACGGGGAACTTTAAGTCAGAGCTGGAGGTGTTGGAGTTCACCAGTTTGATTTTCCATAAGCAGTAAGACATCAAGTAGAGCAGGGTTTACGGGAATACCACAGGAAGATCTAGGTGGTATTCCACCTAGATCTTCCTGTGTTTGCTTTAATGAGCGCTCCTAAACAACGTTAGGCTCTTAAAAAAGACGTAATGAAATTTTCGAAGCCATCGATCAGAAGAGTGTAGATTATTACCAGTGGTTGGTGAGTTTGGTTAGTAACAAAGTGAACTGAATCGGAAATTGGGATAATATTATTGAGAACAGTGTGCTAATTGAGTGCACTGCTGAATGCCATAAATAGCAACTTTCCTGCTGTTGCTGCTACCTCAGTTATGGATGACAGTGGAGAGGACAGAAAAAGCGGACTGTTCCACAGTCGAAGACAATCTCTTAACATGTGTGCTAGCAGTAGGACTGACGCCATTACTGGTGGCGGTGATTGTATGTGTTGGCGTGAGAAGGTGAACTGGTGTCAATCCATCCATCCACTGAAATTTGTTCTTCACGTTGGCTGTTGAGCTTTTGGATGGTAAAACAGTCACCGATGTGAATTGTTGTTAGGGCGAGATGGCCGAGTGGCCTAAGGCGCTGGTTTTAGGCACCAGTC